GCAGTAGAATTGTCCCATACCATTTTCTAGGCTGAAATCTTTCTGGGAGCAGTTCTGCAGATCTTTTTCTCTGGGAGCGTGGCCGGTAAGTGTGAACTATTGACTGTTTGATTAGTAGCTCAATGTTTAAACATTGTGCCATCAAGATAATCTTCCCCACTCTCTCTTTCTCAACACCCCACTTCCTCAAGTTTTCTCACATTTCTTGCTGGCTAAAAGAGGAATTAAGTTGAATATGTACTGAGCTCCAGCAAAGATTCAGTGACCACTTGTAAGATGATGTAGATGAGATTTTAGCATCAATTGAAAAAGCTAAATTGAACAGCTTCAATAAATGTAGCCTTTTTTTCTCTCCTAGAAACACAGCAGCTGATATTATTTAAATACTTTGATTTTGACAACCAAAATGCATAATACGTTGTCTTCACAGGTTCATTCCCAACTTCCAAGTTCATCGTCAACACTAAAATGAAAGAAAACAGGATGAATGTGACTGAATTCATTCTGATGGGACTTACACAGAATCCTCAGATGCAAAACATCCTGATATTAGTGCTGCTGATCCTCTATGTTGCCACCGTAACGGGTAACCTGCTCATCGTAGTCACCATCATCTGCAGCAGTACTTTGGATTCCCCAATGTATTTCTTCCTGACCTTCCTATCGTTAATAGATGCGTGCTACTCCTCTTCCATAATTCCAAAAATGCTAGCTGACTTGCTCTCTGGGACAAAAACGATCTCTTTCAATGGGTGCATGACCCAGATCTTTACCGAACATTTCTTAGGTGCTTCAGAGATTGTCCTTCTTGTTGTCATGGCCTATGACTGCTATGTGGCCATCTGTAGACCTCTGCACTATGTGACCCTCATGAGCCACCGTATATGCTACCTCTTGGTAGGAGTGTCTTGGACAGTGGGTTTCCTCCACTCTATTGGACAGATTCTTGTCACTTTAGGGCTCCCATTTTGTGGTCCCAACATCATGGACCATTTCATGTGTGACATCTTCCCCCTGATACAACTTGCGTGCACAGACACTTTCCTTGTTGGTCTCTTGGTGGCTGCCAATGGTGGAGTAATTCCTGTGATCACCTTCGGGATGTTAATGATATCCTATGTAGTCATTCTATATTCCTTGAGGACTCACAGCTCTTCCGGGAAGAAGAAGGCCCTCTCTACGTGCGGCTCCCACATCACTGTTGTTGTCTTGTTTTTCGTGCCCTGTATCTTTATGTATCTGCGACCAGTAGCCACCTACTCCATGGACAAAGCTGTCACTGTATTTTATACCCTTGTAACTCCCATGTTAAATCCCATTATCTACACAGTAAGAAATGCAGAGGTAAAAAATGCCATCAGAATGTTATTGAATAGAAATGTAATTGCAACTAATAAATAATACAATAAAATGATTTTATTTCTAACATGTTCGCATTTGTATACTTATAAATATATACTAATACACCTTACTTGAATTTCACATGTATCACCTGATTCCATTAGAGTCTTTTCAAAAATTATTATTTTATGGATTGTCTTGATTATACCATGTGCTCAAATTAATAGCACACTATTAATCAGAAGCCTCAGGTCAACGTCATCCCAAGTGTTTAACCAGCTGTCTAAATCCATACTTCCCATTAACATTGCCATCTGTGGTTCAGTTCCTCAACTCCATGGCCTGTGAGTTTGATGATTTATTAAAAGGTCCTCAGGAGACTCAAATCCACCAGCAGAATGACCCCTATGATTGTAGGTGTGAAGGCCGGGTTTTTTGTTGATATTGGAGAGCAGTAGGCTGCTACTATGTTGGTGATTTCACAACCTACCTGGCCAACTGACTTTTAACTTTGAGCTTATAATTCACTCTTTTAAACTATTTTCTCCCCTTCATCTATGCGATGTTAGGGAGCTCTGGTGACATCGAGGCAAGAAACTGCACTGAAATCCCAGAAGGTCTGCAGTAGAAGCCACCAGTTGCTCCACGGGAGAAGGATGAGTAATCTCCTCACATGCTCTGCAAATCCGCTGGAGGGTCAACCGTGGGTCAGATCCATCTCAATGATCCACAACACCAACGTGCAGTGTTAGCCTAGAGTAGGTTGAACCCTTCACCCCTTCTGGTCTTGCAAATCAGTAATAGATGGAAGATCAATCTAAAGAGATCACTCTCCACACTGGGGCCTGTGTGAAAGCACCAGCATAGGACTGGCAGCACAACTGCCTTTAAGCATCCAGCTATGTCCAGCATGGCCCACTGCTCACCAGTTTCAACAAAAATCCCCGCCTGCATCTCTACAGTCATGTGGGCCGTCCTGCTGATGGGTTTGAGTCTCCTGAGTACCTTTCCCTTTGGAAAATGTCAGCATGTTCTTCTGTTCGGGTTTTCTAGCTCAAGGTCTTTGCATACTTAGTGCAGCTAAGGTTTAAGATCGTGTTCTCAGCCTGTACAGTTGAGTAAACTTTCTAGTTGTTGTTGTTATGTGCCATCAAGTTATTTGTGACTCATAATGACCCTTTGTACAAGAGCTCTAAATGCTGTTCTATCCTGTGCCAACCTAGCCATCTCAAACGCACTTATTCCCACCACTCCAGTCACAGAGTTGATCCATCTCATCAAAGGTCTTCCTCTCCTTCGCTGACCCTTCACCCTGCCAAACATGATGACCCTCTCCAAGGACCAGTCCCTCCTTGCAACATGCCCAAAGTATGTCAGACGAAGCTTCAGAATTGTTTTTATATGTATGTGAGATTTGAAAGTGTTTTTTGTGTTCATAATTACTATTTAAAGTCAGAATTTTTTTTTTTTTTTGTCCTGTGCATAAAGTCAGAATTTAATTAAGGTCTTTACAGAAAATAAATGGAGGATCATAAAAGCTAAATAATCATAGAATAAATAAGACAGGCTCAAACAAATATTCTTAGTGTGTATCTTCTGAACTTTTTCATTTTCATCATGCATAATATTTCATTGTTATTTACTTTTAACAGTTTTAACATTTTTTAAATGTTTGTGATAGCAAGTGACATTGTATTAGATTTAAAATTATTAGTGTCAATTAACCACAGATGATTGGGTGGAGGTTTTTTCCCCCAAAGTAGATAATAAAAATAAATCTAGAAAACAATTTCACTAATTAACAATATGTAGTAAGGATATTATAATTGAGAAACATGGTGGAGAGCCCAAACACTAGCTTTGGAATTCATGAGTTTATTTTCCATGATGTCACTATTCCAGCATATGTTCCAAAAGAGGACTCTGCATTTCTATAGATAGTATGTTCTCCTTTTTAGGTACCATCAAGCTGGTTTTTATTCATAGTGACTGTTTGGATAACAGAACAAAAATCAGCTTGGTCCTGCCCCAACCTCACAAATGCCGCTGTGCTTGAATCCACTGCTGTTGCCACTTTGCCAATCTATCTTGTCGAGGCTCTGCCTCTTTTTAGCTAAACCTCTACTTGACCAACATAATATACTTCTCCATGGATGTATCCCTGCTATCAATATGCCTAAAGTGTTTGAGACAAAGTTTTGCCATTTTCTTGTCTTAAGAGTTTTCTAGCTACACTTTATCCAAGACAGATTTGTTTGTTCATTGGTAAGCCCATCATAATGGGGAAAAAGTTTTTAAAGTGTGTGATTCTCTTCATTTTCATTTTCTGGGATGTTTTTATGATTTATTCTACCTTATAATGGAAGAGTTAAGAGATATTTCTATAGGTCAACTGTTGATTCCAACCCACAAATCGTAACATTTCCATTTTTTTATGAACAGCTCAGGGGACATTTTTCTTGAGATGACAGGATTGATTTTTGGATTGGAGGATGCTTTGAAGATACGGACTTCATTGATTAAAATGAAAGAAGTTGCCCACCAGTAGGACAGTTTTATAAGTATGCTTTTTTGTATAAGAGATTCCTCAAATCTGTCAAACATGAAATTATACCTCAGATTATTTCTGACCAATTGTGAAGTGATTCATATTTATTTTACTTTCATTCTAATTTACCTTTTCAGTGTGAAAAACTATTGTTGTATTTACACTGTTGGGGTTTTGTGTTTTGGTTTTTTGCTCCTACTCACTCAACTTGGTGTTTTATTTTGGAAAGACACCTTGGGCTTATAGCTTTACAAACTCTCCTTTTGAAAAATTATATTTATAGGTAGCCCTAAGTCAGACAGATTTTCTCAGAAGCAAAGATACACTTAAACTGTGATGTTGGATAAAAATTTTATTATAAAGGTTTTTTTATTTGTTGTTAGGCGCCACTGAGTCAAGTATGACCCATGGTCACCCTATGAAGAACAGATCTGAACATTGTGTTTTCTTGTGCCATGCTTAAAATTCCCGACACACTCGAGTTCAGTGCAGCAGTCACTGTGTCTGTCCATCTAGGTGAGGCTTTCCTCTTTTTCACTGACCCTTCATCTTTCCAAGAATGGTGTCCTTTCCAAGGAATAGCCTCTGCTAACAACATGCCCAAAATAGGTAAGACAAATCTCACATACATTTGGAATATTTGAAAATTCATGCTTCTACAGCTAAAGCCAAAGAGGAGGAAACTGAAAATTTTTACCAAATCTTGCAGTCTGAAACTGACCAAACATGAAATCAAGAGGTGTTGGTGTAATTGGTGACCAGAATACAAAAAGTGGAGACAATGAAGAAGGAATGGTATTCAGAAATTATGGACTTGGTGACAGAAATGAGGCTGGAAATAGAATGACTGAATGTAGACTGGTACTAAAATGAATAAGTAAATGTTATAATAATCACAACCAGAAGCACCTCAGAAATAAGGATGATGGAATTTTGCCTTGCTTGTCTTGCACATGTTGTCAATAAAAACTGATCATTACAAAAGGACATCATGTTTGACAAAGTAGAGGGCCAGTGAGAATGAAGAAAACTCTGAATGAGGTGGATTACACATAACTGCAGAAAACAAGGGTTCTTAAATATACAGAAATCATGAAGAGAGTAAAGGACGGGAAAACATTTCGTTTGATAATCCGTAAGATTGCCATGAGTCTCCCCCTTCACAACACCACCCCTGTTCAGCATGAAGAACCCAGAGGGTCTGTGCCCCATTCCCAAATGAGAAACCCCACAAGCGAATAAGACAATCTCTTTGTTTAAACACACACACACACACACACACACACACACACACACACACACACACCTTACTCACCATTGGACTATGCTCACCATTACCCTGTCTCTTCTAGTTCCCACTGGATCTTTCTCATTTTCTTCACCTACTCCACTCACCCACCAAATTGGGCAGCCCTGTAATTTCATCCCTGCCTATCTCACTCTTCTGCTCCCAACCCTCACCCCCATTTATCCCCATCCATGTTTTCCACAATAAAAAAAATCAGTCAACTTAAAGACTAGTAACAATAGTAATGTCTGTAGACTGCCTTTTCTCTAATCTATACTACTGTAGGGCTGCTCTGGTGGTTACTATACACAGTAGGGAGCTAGATAAGGGAGTTTAAAGAAATTTCTCATCATTCTGGCTTTTATAATAAATTCTAGATGACAATGTCATAGATCATTCAAACTTTTCTAAGATAGGGCAGAGTAAACTTGCAGGTTCATGATCATTCTGATTGTAGACTATTGTGCTAGATTCAAAAGACAATATTGAGGACACTTTCACAGAGGACAATCTGGATTGATTGGATTAGAGTTCATTGTTGTTAGGGGCTATCCAGTCAAGTCCAGTTCACAGCACCCCATCAACAGCAGATTGAACCCTTGCCCTACCCTGCACCATCCTCACAACCTTCGCTGTATTAACACCCATTGTTGCAGTCACTGTGTCAGTTCATCTCATGCAGGGGCTTCTTCTCTCTTGTTGATTCTCTGTCTTTTCTGGCATGATGTCTTTTTCAAAGACTGGCCCCTCTGTAAACATGCAAGTTTCACCATCCCCTGTCTCTACAGAGTATCCTGTTTACACATCCTTCAAGATAGATTTTTGTTCTTTTGGCAGTCCATGGGAAATTCAATACCCTTCAGCAACTGCACAATTCAATACATAGATTCTTCTTTGGTCTTCCTTCCATCGGATTAGTTTCAGATGCATATGAAGGAATCGACAATAGTATGGCTTGGATCTTCACTCAACCTTCAGCATCTGACATGACAAACACTGTAATGTTCAAGCGCTGGTTGTTGATAGTTGCCCTCCCGTCAACTGCAACTCATAGTGATCCTGTGATCAACAGACCCGACCCTTGTCCTATCCTGTGCCCTTCTCACAATCGCCACCATGATCCAGCCCTTGTAGTCACTGTGCCAGTTCGTCTCATTGTGAGTCTCCCTCTTATTGACCTTCTAACTTTCTTACCATGATGTATTGGTTTTCAAGGACTGGCCCCTCCTGGCAGTATACCCAAAAAAGATTGAGGGGAAAGTGCCACCAATTTTGCCTCCATGGAGTACTCTAATTGTACTTCCTCCAAGACAAATGGGTTTGTGCTTTTGACAGTCCATGGAAGAGTCAACACTACTCGCCAACATTGCAATTTGAAAGCTTCAAGTCTTCTTCAGTCTTCATTCATGGTCCAACTTTGAGATGCAAGGGAAGCAAATGAAAATATTATAACTTAGATCAAGAGTTTAGTCAAATAAATTTAGTCATGTGATCACAGACAACTTTCTTAAATCACTTTTCTACCAGGACACATGCTTTCACAATGATTGCATTCTCTTGAGCCAGTTCAGGAGTTATGCATGATTAATTTTTCTTCTTCTTTAAAAAAGCATATCTGAGCATGAGTAAACTAATGTAGTCCTTTGCAGAAATAATTCTGAATGAAATAGAATTGAATTTCATTTTTTTCCTTTTTTTCAATGCCATCTATATTTCAAGTCATCACGACGGGGTTTTGGGAAAAGTTTTTAATTAGCAATAATTGTGCCTCCCTGGTGACCATTTTGCCACTGCACAAAAAAAATTGCATTTAGTTTAAAAATAATTTCCAAACATTGATATTTCAGTCTTTTTAGTAGATAACTTAAAAAACACTAAAAATTATAGGCAACACAAATGTATCATGACACATTTTTCACGCACTTGCTCATTGCTATTGAGTGGGAATCCACTCATAGGTGACCCCCCCCGGTGCATTTTCAGAGCCAGCAAATTGTATGAAAGGAGATTGCACGTCTTTCTAACTTGAAGTGGCTAGTGAATTGGCAGGGCAACTTGTTATCCAATAGGCCACTAGTTTTCAAACGAACATCATTGCTTTTCAGTATTTTAAAGAGGTCCCTGACAGTAGACTTGCCCAAAGCAATCCATCATTTTATCTTCTGACTACTAGTACCAAAGGAGTTGATTGTGGATCCAAGTAAGACAAAAATCACAGGTAGTTTCAATCTTTTCTCCATCTATTATGATATTGTTCAATAGACCCGTGGTAAAAATTCTTGTTTTCTTGATATTGAGATGCAATACATACTGAAGACTGCAGCCTCAGATTTTTTGCCACAAGCACTTCAGGTTCTCCTTGCTTTCAGCAAGTAGGGTTGTGTCATTTGCATAATGCAGGTTGTTTACGAATTTTCCTCTGATCCTGATACCACATCCTTTGTCACAAAGTCCAGGTTAATGAATTATTTACTCAGCATACAGCTAGATCTATCTTGAAGTACAATATTGTCAGTGACAGGATAATATCTATACGCATACAAGGAAGTCCATTGAATACCACTATTATTCAAATATATGCACCAACAACCAGAGCCAAGGAAGAGGAGGTAGAAGATTTTTACCAACTTTTACAATCGGAGATTGATCAAACATGCAACCAAGAAGCATTGATAGTAATGGGTGACTGGAATGCAAAAGTCGGGAACAA